CTGACTTTTGCTTTAACACCAAAATATAGATTAATCCAATAGGTTTTTTGTTGAAACAACATTTTTAAAAATGACATTTAGGCAAATGTTAACTCAACTACATTATTTTTTTCGGTGTAGTACTTCTATATCCAAAACGGAAAATTCTAAAGAAGTCTTTTTATAAGTTTATACAGTAGGACTCTTTAAAATGCTTAATTGCGAAGTCAAAGAAAAGGGTTCCTCAAGAGTTCTTTTTTGAGAAGTCTTGATTAGTTCAATAGGTGGCGCATTCGAAGTCTTAAGAACTTCTTTCTGATGTTGTATTTGACGTCCAAATCATAAAATAGAGCTTATGCTGTCTGGGTACCTACTAAAAAGAAAAAAAATTGCACTAATATATTATCCCTTATACACTGAAAAAAATAAGCTGTTGAAACAACAACAAAAATATTAATTCAACTCTTTATGCACTTTAAATACAAGCAATGGTTATTGCACGTTTACTTAACCATCTAAAAATGTCAAATTGTATTGTTTAATTGGACAACAAATAACAGTCAAATGAACAAAATAAGAATATTTGTTCTAATCTGCTAATTTGGTTAATTTAACATTCTTAGGGTGTTAAGGTAAATTTCTTGAAATGTCCAGGTAACCTTTTTAGCATATTCACTTAACACCAATAAAATGTTAAATTAACATTCTGAAAATGTAAAATTCTTTAAAGGTTGGTATCCAAAACAAAATTATGGAAATAATATATTATTATATATAAATAGAAAGAATTGAACCTTCACCTCGCCCAGAGTTTTTGTTTTGAGCGTGTTCCACCCATGATACATCTTTGTATCATGTGTTCCACCTACTTCAAATACCGACAGACTGTTTCGCCCTGTATTGAGGGTCTTAACAGTGTCGGGCAATATGGTGTAGTGAAAGTTCTACTGTGGAAGATATCTAATCTTATATACACCTAATCGTAAGCTAACTAAGGCGAGATGTAAGAAAACGTCATTGTCTAATGACGTGGCGTGAGTGTTCGAAGCGCCATTCTCGGCAATTTTATGAATGCAAATTATACAATTTAAATTTGTTAAATGAACAAATTTAAAGTTTTGGATTAAAGAGCAACTAAACGTTAATTTAATAGTTTTTTTAGGTAATCCTAAAAATTTCAGTAGTTGATTCAACAAATTCCAGCTATTAAATCAAAGTACGATAAACATTTTAATTCAAAATATTAGTTTATGTTAAATTAATATTTAAACTGTCAAATGAACAAATAAACTTTGACAAACTCTGACTTTTGCTTTAACACCAAAATATAGATTAATCCAATAGGTTTTTTGTTGAAACAACATTTTTAAAAATGACATTTAGGCAAATGTTAACTCAACTACATTATTTTTTTCGGTGTAAGGGATACCTACTATTTTAAATTTTCAAATTAAAATATAAATTAATATATATATATATATATATATATATATATATATATATATATATATATATATATATATATATATATATATATATATATATATATATATATATATATATATATATATATATATATATATATATATATATATATATATATATATATATATATATATATATATATATATATATATATATATATATATATATATATATGTATATAATCCCACTAGGCGTCCTCCAATGTTAAATTTCGTATACAAACGGCGTCCTTTGGTCACTGGGCGTCCGTTATACGGACGCCGACTGGACTCTACCAAAAACATTTACCAATAAGCGCTAGATGGCTGTGAGATGCAGAAAAACTAAATTTTAAAAAGAGTTTAACTTGGTCGTTTAATGAATTCTGTTTATATTTTAATTCAAGGGTTTGCGTTAGAGTGTCACTACTATCGCCTTGTGTATATAACATTCTTTTCAATCTTAGGTTTACCAAGCGCCCTTAAATGAAAAGCAAATTTGACAACGGTGTCGTTAATATAAACAAGTTATAAATAGATTAAAATTCAATCATTGAATGCTATTTAGGTTTGCATTAATTCTTTTTAGAGATTTACTTTTTAAATAAGTACAAATATTTCGATCAAATTAATTATATCGATTTAAAACTTGCAAATAATAAATTAATGCCATAAATATTGTATGAGCAATTACATTTATAATTTTATAATTTAATATAAAATAAATAAGCATTTATTTATTTATTTTAATCAGTAGACTTTTAATACAAAAAAAATGCTATCAACAGATAAACTTCACTAAATACATTTAAAAATAGATTTCATTATACTAGTATAATAGTATAATGTGCGACTAGTAGGAGTAAAAACAGATTCCTCGAGCGTGAAGTTAGCCGCACGAGCGTAGCGAGTACGGTAGGTACCACGAAAGTGTAATATCTACCAATAGTCGCACACAAGATTTTATTTAACTACCGCAAGAAATATACTGCCATATAAAGCTGATACGGCTCTTTTGCTTAGCTGGAAAATATACATAATAATAATAATAATAATATAAGTCTTTATTGAAACATTTTACAATTTCAAACGGCGAAGTTCAGCGTGTTTAAAAGAAAACATCTGTTCTTCCACACATAGGTATCAGTCTAAAAACAAATTATGAACAATTGAAGAACCGAAACAAGTATGACGCAAGTAATTTAAAGCCAGTTTTATTTGATATTTTATCTGACATTGACATCTATTTTAATTTAAAGCTTACTTACTTCATCCCATGGGCAAAGTAACATTTCGCCCACGGGTTGAAGAAATAAACAATTAGGACATTAATTATTTCTCCCACCGTCAGTAGGGTCACGAAGTTACATGTTTCTTGTGGTGTTGAATAAAATAAATTTTAGTAATTTGGTTCAAACTTAAAGCTAATAAAAATGTAAGTACATTAGGGTGGCCCAAAAAAAAGAATATCTTTTTTTTTCTCGGCTCTTGTAAAAATATGTTAGTTTATCATGCTGTAAGAGCCCTGTCAAAATATTAGCCTGATTAAAAAATTTTTAGGGGTCGCTCAAGATTTTTTAAAATTTTCAAAATCGTCAAAAATTGAATTTTTGTTTTATTTTAATTTTTTTTCTTGTCTCGATATTATTTTTTTGGTAGAAAATAATAAAAATTTTGAAAATATCAAATCAATATTTTAATTTCTAAAGGTCGCTAAAAGTTCGTTGGTATTTATATACAGAGGTCGCTCGAAAACATTCAAAATACTCTACTTTGAAAGTTAAAAAAATTTTGAGTGACCTTTAGAAATCAAAATATCCATTTGAAATTTTTAGAATCATTATTATTATACGAGAAAAAAAATTAAAATAAAAAAAATCCAATTTTTGACGATTTTGGAAATTTTTAATAATCTTGAGCGACCCCTAAAAAATTTTCAATGGAGCTGATCTGTTGACAGGGCTCTTAAAACATGACAAACCAACATATTTTCACAAGAGACAAGAAAAAAAAAATATTCTTATTTTTTTGGGCCACCCTAAAGTACATATATTGTATAACCAAAAATTTAATAAAATATAGTGTATTATACAGTGTGTATATATAATATTTTTAATGGCAACAATAACATAACATAACATAAACTTATTACTTGCAATACAAATCTAATTTATTAATACCTAAGTAGATTTTCAATTTTAAAAACTTAACTTTAACAAAAAAAATATTTTCTTTATAAATAAATCTTTGGAATCATAAATAAACTCAAAAACCTATTATAATAAAGAATACCTAAATAAAAAAGTGCACTTTAAAAATATAGTTTTTCTACGACCACTATGTAAGAGTCACATTTCGTAATGACATGAATATTTTCATCGGCAAGGCAAAACTCGAATGTAAAGTGACATTTGTGTGAAAAGCAATTGACAGCATTCAAACACGTTTTTAGGTTATTTTGTTTTGTATTTGAAAATAATGAAAAATAAAAGGGTCGTAGAAAAAACATTGTGTTTCACTTGTGAGAAAAGCTTTCTTCAAGCAAAATAAATATTTGGAATTATTATTAACATAAGTAGAATATATATTAATTTAATAAGTAAATTTTAAATTAAAACAAACATGGATAGATACATTTAAAACTATAAAATAAAATCTTTTCATGTCTGCCGGTTTTATTTATATGAAATAAATTGTAGGTTAAGTTTTAATTATGTAATATTTAATATTTATACTATGGCTTCTTGGTCCATAATAAATCAAAACAAAAAGATCCTCTTTCTTCTTCGCAAAATTGCTTCATGCACCACTTTTGCCACCTGTCAGGGGAAGATACAAAAACCTAGACTAGCTGCAGTTCTTTTCATTATAGTAATTTATCAAATATGCTTAAATAAGGATGGTTTCTTATTTTAGTTCAATTGGTTGAAAGCGACGTTGCAATTTCATAACGTATGACTCATAAGTAATCTTATTTTTGGCGACTTTAGTATGGAAGTTATGTGACGCTAAGAAAGTATTTAGTTTTTATATGTATTAAGCAGGACGCCAAGTGGGGACGTTTTTAGACCAGAAGTCAAGTGGTCCTACATATATATATATATATATATATATATATATATGTAATACCCAGACAACATGTATGATTTCACTGTGAGATCAGGACGACAGCACGTATGATTTTCTGGATCACGACATGAGCTCATAACGCACACACATGCCGCATCATAGTGATCTCATAGTGAGATCACGCATGAGATTTACGATTCTGAAATCGATTGCGCGCATGCGCATAACAGAAGCCCCGCGAATTTTGAAATAGATATTTATTTTGAAATATTAGCCTTGTTATCAGTGTTAACAGATTTTGTCAAAAAAAACGTACATTATGTTTGAAGTTACCTTAATATTATAAAAATATTTATATAAAATATTAAAATTGATTGTAGCAGTCATTTTTATAATTAAAGTAAATTCAAATAAAATGTAGTTTTTTGACAATCTGGTAACACTGCTTGGGATTAAGAAGGTTTAAAATAATAAATATTAACATGTTTTGTTTATGTATATGTATATTAATCTAAAATATAAAACTAAATAAATTTTTCTAATAAACATTTAAAATAATCTTTTATAACAATATAAAAAAAACTCTCAAAAAATTAAAAATATTAAAATAAATACTTAAAATAATCTCTTATAAAAATAAAAAAAAACTCTCAAAAAATTAAAAAACTTAAAAATATTAAAATAAATACTTGTCATATCACTGTGAATATTAATATTAAAATAAATACTTAAAATAATCTCTTATAAAAATAAAAAAAAACTCTCAAAAAATTAAAAAACTTAAAAATATTAAAATAAATAGGTACTTGTCATATCACTGTGAATATTAATATTAAAATAAATACTTAAAATAATCTCTTATAAAAATAAAAAAAAACTCTCAAAAAATTAAAAAACTTAAAAATATTAAAATAAATACTTGTCATATCACTGTGAATATTAATATTAAAATAAATACTTAAAATAATTTCTTATAAAAATAAAAAAAACTCTAAAAAAATTAAAAAACTTAAAAATATTAAAATAAATACTTGTCATATCACTGTGAAACTATATTTGATGAAAATGATTCTGAATATATCACTTTCAAGGGATGCAGTTTGGCAGAACTATTTTTTATTTTTCTAATAGACGGAGGATATCCTCCATCCTCTGTTCCTCATTTTCTTCTTCAGAGTTTTTGGAATGAAGGGCCTTTTTTGATTTTTTGAATCGTTGTTTCGTTGCCCTGAAAACCTCAGAGATATGAGTTTTGAATTCGGCGATGCAACTAGGGCCTTCGAACATCTCGCATTCTTTTGCAGAATCTACAAAAATATTACAAAAACTCAATACTTGCACATATATAATTTAAAAATATTAATTAAAACAGTAGTAAGATTCTTATTTTAGTTGAAATTCTTAATTTTAAACGCGATAAGAAAGTTGATAAAGAGTTCTAATATGTTGTATCTAACAAAATTTGGCAATTGGACTTCACTTTGAAAAATAAAATCATAATGTTTTTAAGCTTAAGTTTAGGTTTACACGTCAAATTGTTTATTTACTACATTTAAATAAATGTTTTAATGTGTTGAAATTTGGTTTTATTTGAATATTTGGAAGCTAAAAGTCTATTTTGTTAGTTTTTAGCCTCCTGTAAAAATTTTATTTTAGAAGTTAGGCCATTTGTGTATATTATGGGTATTTATCACCTCCTGAAAAATGTTCTGAATGTGGAATACAACATGTTAGAACGTGGGTAAATATACATATTTTTAAAATCAAATTGTTCATTAAACAAATCCACATTTCTGATTTATTTAGGTATTTTATTCAATGGTGCATATAAAAAATTACCAAATATGAGAGTGCTGAGTTGTGTGTTGTCAAATTTCTTCATGTTTTGATTTCCTTCCCAGGTAAATTTGGTGATGACTTCATCACTCACAGTCTCTTTTATCGCCATACTTGCAAATTCCCGCATGGTTATTGCCCCAAGGGTTAATAAACGTTTTCCCTAAAAAGACCGCATATAATTTATAATTGTGCGTTTCTGAACTAGAAGCAATATTGATTGTTACTTTCTAATGTTGCCCAAAAAAAAAATTAATTCTTACCATTTTTATTCTCGCCTCCTCATTTTCGGGGTTTTCCATTATATAAAATTGTTCAAGGGTTTTTATGGGATAACCCTGAACCCTTAAAATTGATCTCATTGTATTTTTTTTGTTTAAAGCTCTTTCAAGAGACACTATCTTTTTTGAATTGTCACTGACTGCCTCCTGTAAAACAATGTTTTGCTGTTCGAGATTCCTGCAACAGAATATAAATATTGGTATATTTCTCTATAGATTTTTAAGAGTCAAATTTATTAAAAGAAATAACATACTTTACTCTTTCATTTGTATCCATAACTGTTGTCAACAAAGTCTGTATTTCATTTTCCATATCTACTCTTGGAGGGCAGAAAATTTCAGCATCAATTTTAGCCTGGGGAATAACTTCCGAAGCATTAACTACTTTTGGTTTTTGGATGCATTCTTTTAAATTCAACCTACAAAGACACAAAATGGCTTATAAAATTTTTTGCATGATAAAAATAAGTTCAGAATTTTCCAGTTAAAGCTATACTATCTTAGCAGTGCATGAAAATAATTGAATAAATTTATATATATAATATATATATATATTAACAAAAAGGACATACTTTTCCATGTTTGAATTTGAAGTTTCGCTTCTTTTTTTTGTATGCTCTGCAAGTTCTCTCAGTCGTGTCCATTCTTCAATAATGCTTGATTTTCCCTTGTTACAAAGTTTTGGGGATTTTGGACCGGATTCATCCGACGATGTCGTCATGTATTTAGGATTTTTATAAGGTACTCGTCCGAATTTAGTTTTTGGCATTTCTTTTCTTTTTCTTTTGTTTTCTCCAACTTCCTTGTCCTCATTAGACATATTTAGGTACTCTTACTATAAATCAACACATTATGAGAGTAATAAAAAAATTCAACCACATGCTCTTTTCTGCATTAAAAAATGCAAAGAATAAATAAAAAAAACTTAAAACCTACAAAAATGACAGATCAACAATAAACATATTTGCCCCAGTTTGAATTAATGTTTGAGAAAATAGTTTACTACGGTTCATGTCGCTGTGGCAATAATAATTTGGTAATATAAGTTGTACAAATAAATTCGCCTTCGATTTGGCGTTCTTCTTCCCCTTCAACTGAACTCCACAAGGGAGTTAAATAACATTTACTCGAAACGTCCTCAAGCGGAATTGCTTCGATGGCGTTTGAGAGATGTTTGCATAGATACACTCCAACTTCATCAGAAGAACAACCCACCTCGTACACTTGATCAATGGAGTTGAATTTCGAAACAACCAGGAAATAGTTTTCCTGAAATTTTAGTATATTTTTGACAATGCATATAATAGAATTTTTTAAGATACAGCAATGGTCACGTAAATTACTGGAAAACCTAACACCCCCAGCTTCAAGAATTTTGAATTGATCAATTAAACGATCCTGAAATTCCTGAGAAATGGGACCATCAAAATGAATTTTTTTGGAAACAATTTTAAATTCGCTACTCAACATGCTTGATGTCATACTGTTGCGCTCTTTCACTCTTTTGTAATATTGTTCCAAAACTCTTTCGGGCTTTCTTATATTTCTAGTCAGTTCACGCATGTGATTCTCGAAACAGAATGCGCTATACGTCTCAATACTGCCTAAATTTCTTACATCGTCAACAACGTGTAACAAACCATGGACGTTATATGAAAGAAACCGCTCTCCATACAGAACTTTAGCAATTTCAACAAACGATCGATGGGCTGCCTCACAAAATTCTAACTGTTCTTCGCTGGCTTCTGCAAAACTAAGCATTCGGATGGTAAAATTTAGCATCATAATATGTTTATAACATTCTCCTGGAATGATGTTGCGCAAAACGGCTGGAGATGTATAAAGCAATAGTTGCCTAAATTCAGTTGCCTTATAGCGATTAAATAGCGACAATGGTGCAGGACGTCGCGCGAAATCTGATGGACAATAATCAACCAAAATTTTCATCCTTGCATCAAGAATGTCAATACTTCTTCCTCTTAAACGTTTCTGTGCATATTTGCCTTCGAGTAATGCAGAAAGAATTTTCTTCGTGATTCCTAAATAAATTAAATGCATTGTTTCAAAAGGCACTTGAGTCACTGGACCGATGATTCTTGACAACAGAGTTGGGCCTTTATGGTGGTCTTCATCGATTTCTCTACGGTAATCTTCATCAGTTCTTGGATTGTTTCTGACGCTTGAAAATATCATAGTTCCTAGATGGTTACTTCCCTCTACAGTGCATTTAGAGCAAGCATTTTCTGCCATATGACCCACATGATTCAAAGCAAATGATCGAGCGGGAGCATCAGCAATAAAGCAACGAATATGCACTGGAAGTCGCCTATTTTGAAAGTAGATTCCACCATTATTTAAAATTGCTAAAATGTCAAAAACAAACTGCTCAAAGAATTCTACAGGATTCGATGGTTTCTTTTTCCCAACAAAAATACCTGCAGTCATTGGTAGCTTTGGTAATATGTTAAATAATCGAAATTGGATTGGCCAAAACTGAAGACCTCCGGATTTGAAAACTCGGCCACCGTCTGTACTAAAGTCCAGGTAAAGGGAGTTTGGAATTTTTCTTTCAGGAATGCACTTCAATTTTTCTTTAATAAGATTTTCGCAATCAAAATGAATATACCTCCCGCCGCATAAATTCTGAATAACATTTCGAACGACAACTGATGGAGTGTTTACGACGGTTCGCGGATCTTTGGGTAAGTACCTTAAAAAGAAAGGCTCGGCTCGCAATGTCTGTAGGACTGCTTTCTGTTGAGCGTGAGTCATATTTGTTGACAAAAAAGTGTTTTTAAGTGCTCTAATACCACTTGATCTAGGATCTATAATCTCTGGAGGAGGATTATCGTCCAAGGGATCGTTTCCGTCTTGGTTCTCCTCGTCGTCATTATTAATAGATTCGCTATCTGTTTCATTATCATTACTGTAATTATTTAATTGATCCTCTTCAAAAGAACCTGATTCTTCTTCGCTGGAATCGGTATCAATTCGAAGTTCATGTTGAATCGGCTCATCAGCATCTATTTCGTTTTTTGATACCTCGTGTGATGAGTTGGAGTCATTAGAACTCGAATCGGAACCTACGAAATACTGATTAGTTTCCAACAATTTATTAGTATGAGATTCGCCCGATGTGCCAGCTTTGTTATCTATGGTGCCAGCTGGACCAAGGTCACTCTGCGCGCTTCTTAAGTTCAATTGTTTGCGAATCATCGAAATCCTTTGCCGCCTTTGTCGAAGTCCAAGATTTGACAATTTCTTCAATTTTGGCATGATATATATAGCTATATCTATATAGACAGTACACTTCCTACAAACCCATTATTTTATAAATAAAATATTTGAAAATTATTTTTTATTTATATGGGTTCTAAAAATTTTATTTTCAAAATTTGTTTTTTACCCAGTTTACCTACGGCCTACGGCCGGCGACTGAATAGCTACTAGGATGTTTGAATATAAAATATTTATTATAACCAGTTTCAACCAAGTTTCAAAAATAACACCCTTTATTTTTAATGCATTTTTGATTCCACACACATTTTTTGGATATACCTGCTTTGTAAATCCAGGGTATTTCCAATAAAGTGCTAATATTTTAGGATAACTCCTCAGGTCATTTTATGAAGAAAAGTTCATATAAACCTGTCATAATTTGCTTCGTTTTGGAGGAACAATGTGTTTTTGTAATGATTTTATACTCCACTATTTTTTTTTAAATAAATTTGGTATGTTTTTACATCAAACAATTAAAAATATAACTTTTTGGTTTATTAAATTATACCTAAAAAACTTGCTCGCCACAGAGTCGTAAAATATCTTAAAAACTAAGCCATGGTCTAGTTATAATTTTAAATATTTTCATCCTAAAATGGTATTAAAAATCAGTGATGTACAAGGATTTTTACGAAATTATGTAAATAATTATTAAAATCCACTTACAACAAAAATGTCCCCTTGTTACTGTGTATAAACATAATATAAAGTTTCATTAAAATAAACAAAAAACTTTTAGGTGAACAAATTTTAACTGAATTTTTATTAAATTTTTTTTTGCCTATTTTTAAATTTTAAGTGAATTTTATTAAAACTTTAACAGACTGTTTCTCAAAACAAACAAGTTAGTATAATTTATTAGAATTTTTATTTATAAAATGACCTAAGGAATCACACCCTGAAATATAAGCATGCTTGCAAGTCATTAAGGAATACCCTGTATATTAATTGAGAAAATGTTAATGTCTTTTAGTATGTATATATTATTATTACAATCATTTTATCAAAATTTTATAAGAGACAAAAAATTTTCAACAATAAATGATTACCTGAAAAAATATCGTTTGGAAGTCACTGGCGCACGTACTAAAAAATAGGGGGGTCAGTGAGTACTGGACCCCCCTATTTTGATTATTTGACAAATGTTTTTTGTTTTTTTGGTCTCAAAAAATGTAACTATTTATGTTGAAGTATTGTACCGAATTTGAACTTAATATCTTATCAATTACTTGAATTATTAAAAAAAATCAGTTTTAAATTTCCTACTTTGTTGCCCTGTATATCGAACATGAAGCTCTAAATTGAAAAATGGTATTATGAAAGTCTTATTGTTTTAACATTGACCTCCTTTTTCCGGACACCCTGTATATATATGCTTGCAATAAGAAATACATCAATGTTTACGATCAGTATAGATCGACCTATGGTTTACATGGTTTACCCTGTATCTTTAAAGATTTATGTAGATATAATTACCTTATTGTGGTGTTTAATATCAGTTTAACAGTTTAAAAACTACCAGTTCTGCAAAAATAAAAACGATCTATCTATCTAAAAGCACAATGTCATTTGCTTGTCAATAAAGATTCTGTTTAGAAATGAAGATTACACCAAAGATCTTCTTTATACCTATGGATGAAACAATGATTATTAATAATTATTAAAAATATTAATTAATTAATTAATTTTAAACTTTTACAAAGATATAGGTTATGGCAGACTAATGAAATCGAATTACTGATAATATCATATGATATTATCACAAGCAATAAAACCATGCAATAATAATTAATTAAATTTTACCTGAATCGTTAAAAATAATCGGTAAATTCACAATTTATCTTCGTATTAGCAACCACAAATTATAAGTAACACAGAACAAGCACCATTTTCTAAATAAACCAGCTCATCTCATCAAATCGCGCATGCGCGAAAATTCAAATGCATATTGTAATGTAACGGATCTCAGCAAAAATCACGAGATGATTTTTATTTCTCACACGTGAGCTCATCAGGACCTCAGTTGAGTTAAACTCGTGATAATCACGACGTGACGCTTGTATGATAATCATGGATGTTGTCTGGGTAGTGAGTTATTTTATTCTTATATAAAATTACTATATTAATTTTAAAATTATACGCAGGCAAAGAACACTGATTTAGAGGTTTAGGAATTCGAATGTTTACGTTATCGGCAAGCCGTCGAAGGCGGCCCGATTAGGTAACTTGATACTTCGAAGAGACCGTTCATACTTTTCATAAACAAATCGACCCCAAATATTAAGCGCATTTTCTATAAGATCAGTCTAAAAGTCGCAGTGATCTGTTAAAGTAACTTGTGTTGTTTTATGTGCTTTGTTTTTGATGATTTAAGAAGTTTGAATATTTTGGTGAGTTTTCTCACAGAGCGTACTAATTTTATTATTAATATTACCATTTTAAAATATTCATTTACCTATTGTTTCTATTTATTTATCTAATATTTATTAAGGGTTTATACAGGCTAAACCTATTAAATTATTTAACAGTATTAAATAAAAACTAAATAGATAATAAAATATAAATCATTTATTAGCTAGCATTTAAAAGGTTATTTATAGACTTAAGGCATTTAAGGATAAACGGCACTGTCTTTTCAGTGTTTAAACCTTTTAGGTTTGGGCTAACTATCTGGTGACAGGGTACCTCGCGCGTCATCCCTTGGTACTCACTGCACGTTCACTATAGTTAGTGCTATTGTCTAGAGTGGGTACGTCGCGCGTTTTCCCTTCGTACTCGTGTGCACAAATAATTATACTCTACATTAGCGAGTTTGTCATTATAATGTATATGTAAATATATATATACTTGTCTTGCGTATCTTTTTGGCTGCTAGTTGAATTTCCCAGATAATCGATTAACTGATAAACAAGATTAATATTGAAAATCAAGAATATTCTCAAAATTCAATTATACTAGAAATTAGTTGCTCAGGTATTTTTTTATTTAGTTTCAGAAGTGTCACCCGACTACTCGACATCTTTACTTATTGTTTAGTATAAAATCAAATTAGTTTGTTTGTAAGTAGTTCATTTTTATTATTTTACATTTATTTTAATATATCTTTATGTATTTTGCTTTTAATTTTATTCTGCGCCCTAATTTAAAATTTTTAACCCCACAAATTATCAGAAGTGGGATGTCGATAAAATAAATGTAATAAATTAATTGTCGAGGTGACACATTGAGTAATATTTTTTTATTTTATTTTGGTTAAAATCTAAATCGAGTACTCAATTATCAATCAATCATAAGCCCCGTAAACGTCAACTTGCTCTCCGAACATAATTATTGTTAAGGATGACGCTGCATTGACTTTTTTCCAAAAAAATGCTACAGAATTAACTACAATAGAACCTGACACTACCAACCAAAAAGTTGTACTAAGAATTGCAGAAAACTTTACCCTATTACCTAATCATTGGGGTCATGTACTGGTTTCTAGCGACAGTTACGAGGGAGATGTTTATATTGAAGCTAGTACACGACATCAAGAAGGTCAAGAGTACTGTATACCTCAAACAGTTTTAACTGTAAATAAAGAAAAACATTCAGTTTTACCATGCATTAGTTTGACAGATCAAGAAATACATTTTAGGCAAAACAAGGTTATAGCACGAGGCCAAAGCTGTATAGAGAATGAGGACTTGGAAGAAATTCTGGCCATAGAAGAGAAAGCTTTGGAACCACTACCATTAAACGACATCGTAGTTGGACAAATAGACGGTAAGCAAAAACAAAGACTCTTTAATTTGCTCAACGAATATCGAGACTGTTTTGCCCTAACTACTAGTGAGCTTGGTTGCTCTAGAACTGCAACGATGAAGATAACCCTTCGCGAGAATACACCATTTTCGTATCGACCATACCGGATGTCTAGAACCGAACAAAATGTGGTTAAGGATATCGTAGAAGATCTTTTATCCAATGACATTATACGAGAGTCTGATTCAGAATTTTCATCGCCAGTTCTATTGGTCAAGAAGAAAAACGGTGAGCAAAGATTATGTATTGATTACCGAAAATTAAATTCTCTCTGTGTAAAGGATAATCAGCCATTGCCACGTATTGATGACCAAATTGATAAGTTACAGACAGGTAATTATTTCACTAGCTTAGATCTGAAGTCCGGATATCACCAAGTGCAAATAGATGAATCATCAAGACATTATACTGCATTCGTAACACCCGAAGGTCAATACGAATACAATAGAGTTCCATTTGGTTTAACTAATGCCCCGAGAGTTTTTCAGCGACTTATGACAAAAATTATGAAACCTATACGTGCAAATTCTGCTCTATACCTTGATGATGTACTTTTGTATGCAGCGACGGTGGAGGAGTCCTTTAATATTTTGCAGCAAGCTTTGGAAATTATGCGTCACGAGGGTTTAACTTTAAATTTTAAGAAGTGCACTTTCTTTAAAACCTCAGTAACATATCTTGGATACGACATAGAGCAGGGAAAAGTAAAACCAGGAGCAGACAAGATTAAGGGTGTAAAAGATTTCCCAACACCTAAGACAGTCCATCAAATCCGTCAATTTCTTGGTTTAACCGGTTATTTTAGACATTTTGTTAAGAATTACGCAATTATAGCAAAACCTTTAACCACCCTAACAAAGAAAAATGTGCTATGGAAATGGGGTGAAGATGAAGATATTGCTTTCCTTAAACTTCAAGACATTTTGATAAGTCTACCAGTTTTAAATTTATTCAATCCAGATATTTCCACAGAACTTCACACTGACGCAAGCCAAATAGGATTGGCGGGCATTTTGATGCAACGAGGTCCAGATGATAGATTACATCCTATAGCCTACTACAGCAGGCAAACAGCGGATGTGGAACGAAAATATCATTCCTATGAATTGGAAACTCTAGCTGTAGTAGAAAGTCTACGAAAATTTAGAAGCTATCTTTTGGGAATTCAATTTACAATAATTACAGATTGCAATTCTCTTAAATCTGCTAGTAAGAAAAAGAAAATGATACCACGGATTGCACGGTGGTGGCTGGAACTTCAAGAGTTTACCTTTGAAGTGCAGTACAGACCTGGGAGTCGAATGGCACACGTAGATGCTTTGAGTCGAAATCCTTGTGAAAATACGAACAATCAAGAATGTGAGGTTCTCCTTCATATCCAGCAAGCCGACTGGGTGCTTTCAGGTCAATTTACAGATGAAAAGCTGAAGGACATTCACAAAGTGCTTTTGAAGTCACCAGTAACAGCTTACGAGAAAGATGTCTATAAAAATTATTGCCTACGAGATGGAAGGATTTATAGAATAACAGCTAAAGGAATTTTGTGGGTAGTTCCTAGAGGAATGAGGCAACAAGTTGTCAAGTCAGCTCACGACGACTTAGGTCACTTTGGAGTGGAAAAGACTCTGCACAGGTTATGCGAAAACTACTGGTTTCCCAGAATGAGGAAATATGTGGAGCAATACATTGCTTGTTGTATTCCATGCCTGTATAACAAAAGAAATAGTGGGAAAAAAGAAGGATTTTTACATCCAATACCAAAAGGTGTAGATCCACTAAATACTTTTCATGTAGACCACCTAGGTCCTTTCCCGAAAAGCAAGAGAGGAAACTGCTATCTAATCGTTGGTATAGATGCATTCACCAAATTTGCCTTTTTACATGCAGTCAAGAGTACGAAAGTCAAATATGTAATGGAATATTTCAGGGATATCTTTGCAACCTACGGTACTCCAAAGGCTATAATATCTGACCAAGGAAGTTCCTTCACGAGCAAGAAATTTATTTCATTTTGTAAACAAAATAAAATTCGGCACATTGTTAATGCTGTGGCAACTCCTAGAGCAAATGGACAAGTTGAAAGGCTCAACAGAACCATTCTCGGTGCACTATTAACAGCTACCCTAGAAGAAGAACTTTGGGACGCACAAGTTCGATCAGTGCAATTCGCCATCAACAATGTTATTAACAAAAGCACCGGAAAAACCCCCAGCCAGTTAATGTTCGGGTTTACTCCACGAAATGGCAGCGACGTTCTATTAAAAGACGAAGTTAGTCTAATACCATGTTAGAAGATTTAATAAATGCAAGAGAGAAGGCCGCTCAAAAAATTAAATCTGCCCAAACCAAACAGAAGATCTACTATGATAAGAAAAGGAAGAGACCACACAATTATAAGGAAGGTGATTTAGTTGTCATCCTCAAGCAAGTCCAATCAACAGGTACAAGCAAAAAACTAAAAGCACCATACAGTGGTCCTATGGTCGTTAAAACAGTCCTACCAAATGATCGATACATAGTAATGGACATGAACAATTCTCACCGAACTCTTCGATCAAAAAAATATGAGAAAATCATCGCTGTAGATCACATGCGTCCATGGTGTACACCAGGAGGAGTTTCCGATAATACCGACAGTGCTAGTGGAGAGGATGAAGTCGTTTTAACTTCTTCCGAAGAGGATGAGTCCTTAGACTCCTAAGATCTCGGGACGAGATATTTGCAGGATGGCCGACTGTAATAGTGAGTTATTTTATTCTTATATAAAATTACTATATTAATTTTAAAATTATACGCAGGCAAAGAACACTGATTTAGAGGTTTAGGAATTCGAATGTTTACGTTATCGGCAAGCCGTCGAAGGCGGCCCGATTAGGTAACTTGATACTTCGAAGAGACCGTTCATACTTTTCATAAACAAATCGACCCCAAATATTAAGCGCATTTTCTATAAGATCAGTCTAAAAGTCGCAGTGATCTGTTAAAGTAACTTGTGTTGTTTTATGTGCTTTGTTTTTGATGATTTAAGAAGTTTGAATATTTTGGCGAGTTTTCTCACAGAGCGTACTAATTTTATTATTAATATTACCATTTTAAAATATTCATTTACCTATTGTTTCTATTTATTTATCTAATATTTATTAAGGGTTTATACAGGCTAAACCTATTAAATTATTTAACAGTATTAAATAAAAACTAAATAGATAATAAAATATAAATCATTTATTAGCTAGCATTTAAAAGGTTATTTATAGACTTAAGGCATTTAAGGATAAACGGCACT